TCTTTAATTTTTTAACTCCTGAAAATATTCCTCTTGTCTTTAGAAGCCTCTTTGAGGGTATGACAGATCCAATCCATGATTTTCTTGTTCATGGTACACGTCTCATCATATTCCAACTCCTCTCAATCCAATCATACCATGTTGATCCATCTGAGTTCCACTTGGTGATGTCAAAAAACTTGAATCCCACATAAAAATAAATTGTCTTCCTCCTTGTCTGAGAAAGATGTTGAGGAAACACGAAGATAGAAAATGTGGTTATGAAGCTAGCACAGAAGGTGTTAGCTAAGGGGATAGAAGAGAAAATGAATAGATTTCGATGGACTCAGTGGAAAAGGTGTTCAACAATCCAAGGAAGTAGGAGAGAGAAAGGTCTTGGGAAATGTGTCGAGGAGCATACTTTTCATGTTGCAGGACATAAACTCTTCTCTTGTTGTATAATCTAACAAAATTCACTTTCTTCCTTTGCTTTTTCGCTTGGTCAGCATGTTTCACTTAGGTTGCTCAATTTATACTCTTACCATAAATAATGGTGTTCTTACTTAAAACTATAACTTTTACTCTACAGACAAGTAGTATCATGTTCAAATATTGCACATGAAAAGCTGAACTAGGGTACATTCAAACTCTACCCTTCAATTATTCAAAAAAACCTAAACAATTATACTTCCCTTTATTCACTGATTCACATTACATCTTTTATACCTTAATGGTGTTCTTACTTAAAACTTTAACTTTTACTCTACAGACAAGTAGTATCATGTTCGAATATCGCACATGAAAAGCTGAACTAGGGTACATTCAAACTTTACCCTTCAAATATTCAAAAAAAAACTAAACAATTATACTTCCCTTTATTCACTGATTCACATTACATCTTTTATACCTTAATGGTGTTCTTACTTAAAACTATAACTTTTACTCTACAGACAAGTAGTATCATGTTCAAATATCGCACATGAAAAGCTGAACTAGGGTACATTCAAACTTTACCCTTCAAATATTCAAAAAAACCTAAACAATTATACTTACCTTTATTCACTGATTCACATTACATCTTTTATACCTTTTCCCCAAATAACTTGCTCCCACACCCCCTTCTCTTTCTTTACAAATCCTCCATCGCAACTGCTGAACTTAACTATCATTTTGACTAATTAAACCAACCCAACAAATGCTGAACTTAACTGTCATTTTGACTAATTAAAGCAACCCCATCAATGCTTCCAACTCTATATTAACAACAACAAAAACTATATATATGTGCAGAACCCAAACACTTCGAAACAGTGAAAATTATCACAAACAAAGCAAAAACTATAAAAAGAATCAGGCTTACAAAAATTTAAAAAATTGTAAATGAAATGGAGTAAGCATCGAATAGCTTTACTGACCTCTGGCTTGGATCATCATCAGTGGATTGATGAACAGCCCGAGAACGACCCATTTCTTCCGAATTTGAAAGCACAAAACTCGGTTATACACAACTCTCCGGCTGCCGCAAAGACAAAGTGCGGCACTTTTTCAGAGCAAAATTCCTAGATTTGGGGAATGAAGAATTACGTCCTTTTTATACTATTCAAAATTAGGCTTTAAAAAATCATTTTGAACTCATTTAGGGAAAAAAAAGTAATATTCGCCATGTTCATATTTACTTGTCCAAATTAACAAATTAATAAAGTGACAATAATTATTTTCCTAATATGTCTTTATTTAATTCTAGAAAATTTCTAGTACTACTAAGTTATAATGTATGTTTTTTGGACCCACAAAATATATTTATTATACTTGAAGAATTGTATAATCTTTTAAGTTAGGATTAAAATTGTAACTAACCTATGAGACCATCATGGTGTCTTAATATGTTTGTTAATTCTAAAGTGTACAACTAAATCGGGACAGAGTGAGTACTTAATTAGGTTTATAAGTATAAAAATTAAACTTAAGCTCCACTAGTATTCGAATTGATTCTAAGTAAAATATAACTATTTATTTAAGGGAAAAGACAAGTATAAGTTTATATGTATATAGATAAATGTCGAACCCCCTTCAGTTATTTATTTCTACAGATTTTGAACCCTTCATTAAAAAATTTGGCTCCTCCTCTGGTCCTTGTCGTTCAAAAACTAGAGCATATAACCATCGATTTGATATTTAATAAATATCGAGTTGGTTGATAAGATTATGACACATGTATGTCCGTTAGAATAAAAGGTATATGTACTCTAATTTTTAGATATAAATATTAATGTCCCAGTAATATGAGAAAAGATATGTGCATATCATTTACGTCAATGTGAAGGGTATACTTATTTTTTTCCTTTTATTTAGTGATAAGGACAAAAGTTAGAAAAAAAATAATCTCAATTGTTTTTTCTGTATCAAAGTGGACAAGAAAAATGAACTTATATTTTTAATTATATATTGAATAAAGTAAATAAAAAGAGTTCTATTAGTGTTCTGTTTCCAATGTATTATTTGTTTATATTACAATCTCGTTAAGTTAATAATACTTTTTATTTGGTTTGTATCACCAACAACTATAGAATCTCCTTATATTAATATAGTGAATCATAAAATATTCTTATTTTATAGAAATTATGTTAGGTGAATCATAATATATTTTTATTTTTTTATGTGAATTGATAATATTTATTAATTTAAAGAGTGTTTTAATATTCAATGAAGGATAATTTAATTACATCAAAATCATTGTATCTTATTAATTTTTTGTGTCATATTTATTGAATTCTTAATAAATACATCAAAAACATTATACCTTACAAAATTACATTGATTGAATTGGTTTTTAAAAAATCATTACACATAAAGTACAATGTATGTGCATATCTCAATGTAATATGTGTAAAATAAATATAAGAATTAAATGTTTTATTATAAATATAAATTCATTGTACATAATGTTCACTATTTTTTAACAATTAAATAATATTCATTGTATCTTTACTAAGAACACTCAATGAATAATGATGAGAGAATAAATTATATGAGCAATATAGAAAAATCATATCAAAAAATGGTTTCTCATTCAAAAGGTGTCACAAAATCAACAATAATAATGTATAAAGCATTATGTGAGTACAAAAGATATCATTCCACATAAGCTCAAAAAGATTTGCAATCATAGCAACACCGAAATTTTTGAATGCAACAAGAAAAGCTAGAAATAAACTTCATCTTGATTTAAATTCTAATTAAAAAATAAATAAAACACAATACATTCACATTTCACTAAATTGTCTTAAATATATTCGTACTTTTAAAGAATTTTTAATTTTTAATATTAATGAAGATCATATAGTTATATAAGGTCTTTTGAAAATATATTATTTTATCATCTTATCAAAATGTGAAATTATTCAGTTCTTGTTTCTTAGCATTTGTTTTCTAAAGTGATTAATAGCGTTTTGTGATAACATTTTCTTGTCGAGTATCTTTCTCACCTGACGAGGACGAGGTTGAATGGTGGAATCAGGAAACACTGATGTTGAATGAGTTGTATCTTTTGTTTTGTAGAGATTAGCATAAGAAAAAAGTATACTTTCAAAAATCTTCTGCTAGCCCAAAATCGTCAACTAAGATCAAAAGATTTAACTAAGGAAAAGAAAGCTATGTGTAATAAGTCAGTCCACTTTGAAAATATCGTTTTAAGAAAGACCCTTTTAACTAAAAAAAAATTGTTTAAAGCTAGTTATGGCAACTTGAGTACAATATTTATACGTCGACTTGATACTATTCCCATATTCTCTTTCCAAATATTTCTTAAGTAAACATCTAACTTAATTTTGCAATAGTAAATTCCTTCTGCTACCAGATAAAGAATTAATTTTGCTTATAGATTTTATTAACTTTATTAGTGTGTTGTATAAATTTTGTCATCTTTATTTCAACACGTTATACTAGTAACTTTTTTTTTCCCATCATTTAAGTTTTCAGTCTTGATAAAAACTAATATCTGCATGGGTCCAAATATCATGCCATGAATTTTGTGTTAGAGTGCGTTTCTTCTCTAAACTAAAAATTTATTTAGTTTCCATTGAATCGAGTTAAAATAATTATATTTGTATATTAAATCTCTCGCGCTTTATACAAACACAAATTATATATTGTATTTTGTGTAATTTGTGTTTGCATAAAACGAGAAAGAGAAAAAAGCAAAAAAAAAAAATTGAGCAGAGGAAGATTTGTATTATATAATTATAAGTGTATAAGACGAAACGATATGTATTTGTATTTGTATATACAATTTTCTCTCGCTTTATACAAACACAAACACAATTTATATTGTGTTTCTATAAAGTAAAAGTGGAGAGGGAGAGTGGCAAGCGAGATTGGAAAGAGTGGATCTATTAGCTTATATCATTAGTACAAAGCACTAATACTTTTTATGGGGCACTATTAAATTTATCAAATTTTGATATATATATATATATATATATATATATATATATATATATATATATATATATATATATATATTCGTGATATTTTTAGAAGTTGACGGGTGTATCTACACCCCACTATAGCATGTGGGGCCTCTGGTTAGGGGTGCCCCTTAAGCCCGTGAACATTGATATATATATATGTGTGTGATTTTTTTAAAAGTTAACGGGTGCATGTGCACCATATAATAGCATGTGAGGCCTCTGGTCAGGGGTGCCCTCTTAAGCCCGTGAACATCGATGCGTGACTTGAGTTCAAGTTTAGGTTTCTTCATTTTCATTTTGAGCAGATAATTTTTTTTAAAAAATGCATAAAATGTGTAGGTGATAGGCTTCAAAACATGCAACCTAACGTAAACAAAATGGTTCTCAAACCACGATCCACAAAGCCAACTTCATTTACTCATGTCATTAATTTATATCTATATGTAAGAATATCAAATGAGACAATGTTGCATGATATCACTTCCACTATCATGCATCTATCCTTAAGTCTTTGGATGTCAAAATTTGATAAAGTAAATGCACAGAAAAAAATAAAAGGAATTCAACACATAAGATAAATATGTTATGTCGAGAGTCTACATGCTGACATGATCGATATTCGAGAACCATCGTTGGTCCCAAAGTAAATCCTCTGCATGACTGACTACTTAGAGGAAGACTTACTCAAGGGAATAGGGAACTTTAAATGCATAACTAAGCTCACTAGTCTCAAGATCTAAAAAAAGAGGAATACACTAGAGACTCATCAACTCTAGTTGTCTATGAAGCCTCTAATACTAGGATACATGTCGGAAAAAAATCCACGACAACTCAACAATAACAGGAAAATAAATATGAAATCCTCTGAAAAGAAAGGAGGCTAATCAAAGCTAACTGGAAATGCAAGTAATCTCAAAGAAGCACATGTTGATGACCCTGAACACTTGTACCTGCATCATAATATTTAAGATGTTTGTTGAATGACATCAGTACATTGAATGTATGAGTACATAAAAAAAAAACTGAATGAAGTGAATTGATAAGACCGGAAAAATACTCACCTCATCTCAATTCAACTCAATACAAAGCAATAATAAAAGATGAATTATTTAAAGTTATCATAAATAAAAGATACTAACTCAAGGATGTATATAAAATATAATAAATTATTCTTTACTCTTTTGGGGAATTCTCTAACCGACAACCATCACTATGATCTATATGATGATATACATTGTCTTGCACACGCAGTCAGAATTGTCATATACCTTGTCGGGCAATTAAACACCTCAACTTAGTGGATTCACTAAAATTATGCTCGAAATGAATAAGGAGTCGTCTAAAGAGCACGATTCTGTATCAATGTTGGCTACACAATTAAAAAAAAATTTGTGTTGTATGAACTCATCCCCATATAGATGCTCAGTACTACTCCTAATAAATGTATACACGCATGCTCAAGTATAAATACTCTTTTTTCTATTTTGAGGTAATTACTAAATTAACCTCTTAAAAGAGATAATTGCTATGAAATATCCTGAACTCATAAACTCATTTTAGAAATCAAGGTTTCTCTTTGCTCAATGTAAAAAAGTTACATTTGAAAATACATAGTTCCTTAATATTCTTCCTCAATCATGTATGCAACTCTTCTGAAAACTCATACTTACCTTTTCAGAGAATTAGTTTAAAATCATTCTTGGTTAAAAAAATTCTCAATAATAACTTCATAAAAGCTCTTGAATTTTCCTCTTAAACTCAATTTAGCTTTGAATTTGCATTAAGACATGAATTAGGATACGTAGAGATTTTCAAAGGTAAATGGAGCTTATAAAAGATAATACAGAGAGGGGAAACATGGTCACGAGTTAAAAGAACAAACATCGGATGAAACAAAGAAAAGAATCGACCTAAAATCCTTTACGTACTATTGGCGCAGGCGCTAGGCCCTGAACTTCAGAAGTCAACAGGTGCTGGCGCAGGGCGCCGGCCTTGAACTTTAGTGACACCATATTTTGAGAGAAAAATTATTGTTGTCATCTCGAGATCATGAGTCGGGTAGTTCTTTTCGTGAATCTTAAATTGTCTGGAGGCATAGTCTATAACCTTACCACTCTCATTAATGCATCACCAAGTTCAACTCTAAACACATTGCAATAAACAACAAAACCCTTTGTACAATCTGGTAGGGTCAACATTAGGGCAGTGGTTAACCGAGTTTCAATTCCTGAAAGCATTCTCACAAGATTCAAATTATTAAAACTTAGTTGTATTCTGATTCAACTTCGTTAATGGGGATGAAATAGATGAAAACCCTTTGACAAACCTTCTCTACTAGTCATCCAACCTCAAGAAACTAGGGAGGTGGGGGTGGGCCAATTTTATATTGCCTCAATCTTTTGATTGTCGACTTGAATTCGTTCGCCAGGCACAATGTGGCCTAAGAACTCTACCTATTTAAGACAAAATTAACACTTAGAGATTTCGACATTAAATTCTCGATCTTTGATAGCTTGTGGAACTATTCTGAGATGGCTAACATGGTGCTCCTCATTCCTCGAATAAATAAATATGTCATCACTAAACACGATAACAAACATATTCAGATACAACTTAAATAACTTATTTATAAGATCTATGAATGTTGCATGAGTGTAGGTCAAGCAAAAAGACATCACGAAGAAGATATAATGACCATAACAGGTCATGAATGTTCTTTATGAAATATCACTTTCTCTTAGTTTCAACTGATGATATTCGATATGAAATCTATCTCAGAAAAGCAAGTGGCACCCTGAAGTTGGTCAAAAAGGTCATTAGTTCTCGAAAGGGGATATTTCTTCTTTATGATGAACTTGTTCAAATGGTAATTGATACACATCATAAAGGAACTAACTTTATTTCTCATAAATAAGACTGGAGCGCCCCAAGGTGAGAAACTAGGTCGGATGAAAACCTTATTAAGAAGACCTGTCAACTGCTCTTTTAACTCAGTTGGAGCCATTCTATATGGCGATGACCTTTGGAAACTTAGTGACAACTGGAACTAACTAAATAGGTAGTGTTTTAACACTAGAGTCATTAACTCGGACTAAGTGATAGATGCACTCCTTCAAAACTAACTTTCTAGCCTTTAAGTATGACTTAAAATGACCTTTTGACATTGTTTTACTAATACACTCTAAAACTTCCAGAAGCTGAAACATGAACAATCGATTGTAGCATAATAAGCATGAATTCAATCCATACCTAGAATAACATCAAAGCCAATCATATCTAGCTCAACTAAGTTAGTCTGATGTCCTTGTGATAGAAAAATATGGTACAATCATGATAGACTTTTTGCTATATGTGAAAACACTAAATGGCTCAAGAAGTTATTCGGAGAAAATATCAAATCTAATGTCTACATAAGGAGTCACAAAATACAAACTCGTACCTGGATGAAATAAGGTATAAACATCAAAAGCATACCCGTGAAAACATCTAGAGAATAGTATAGCACACAAACGGTTTGTTCCTTGCCTGTCCCTGAACTGGCTCAACCCGGAGTATCTCTATCTACCTGAGTTGCTGAAGAAGATTGGGCTCTATTAACCCCATTACCCTACATGTTCTTAGGGAACTCTCTCATAAAGTGACACGTCTGAACACACTTGAAGCAATCTCCGGAGCCATCACGACACGCTCCTAGGTGGTTCCTATCACAGTTAGCACATGTAGGGTTCCAAGTAGCCCCTCGTACCACACTACCCTAAGACTAAGTAGGTTGAACCTGAAATTTTGGGATTTTTTGTTCCTATAACATTTTTCATTCTATTTTTAGATGAACATTACTGAAAGGATGACCAATTTACATTCTGGACTCATGATTTGTTGTCTTAGCCCTCTTACTACAGAACTCTTCCATGTCTCTCAAATCATTTTTCTCAACTTGTTGCACAAGAGTCATGAGCATGTGTATGTCTCTTTTTCCCTATCAACATAGTCGCCTTACCTTCCTTACTCGATAATCGAGATACCCAAACACAAACAGACTCACCATGCTCCTCATATCAGCCACCATCTCCGGAGCATAGCGGGATAGCTGAGTGAACTTGAAGTTGTAATCTTGCACACTCATAGACTCAGAGTAAGAAACTCTCTTACTTTTGCTTCCCTTAACTCTCATTGCCTCAAGAAAAAAATCTTCAAACACAACTCAACTCAAATTTGGTGCCCCATTCCATTCATCATACTATATCTTAACAACACCTTTAAGATCATATAAGGCTACCTCTACATGCTCTGCATCACCAACACGCATGACCTCAAACACTTTATGAAGTTCTTTCACAAAATTCTTCGGATCCTCAGTGATCTTTGACAATGTGAACTCTGGGTGATTCATCCTAAAAAACTTATGGATTTTGGATGTATTAGCCACATTCGATTATCAGACTCCTTTTTGACCATTTTGATTTTTCACAACCCGAGTCAACATCTAAATAGCATGCGTAAACTCCGCATTGGTAATATCTCCCTGAAGGGTTGCATTTCTGGTACAGTAGAAGATTCTTGATCTTGAGGATTAATATTCATCCTAGAAAGACGTCCTCAAATAATTTTTGTAGAGGTATGGTCTGAAAAAGACACGTACAGGCAAGAGTTAAAGAAACTTTTATAAAGTTGAACTCTATTATACGAAAAAGAGTAAGAAGAAAGTGAAATGTTCCTAAACTTTGTAACCTCCCAATTATAGATGTTGTGCGCTTCACATCGATAAGAAGAACTCTACTCGACATAGACACCTTAGGACTCTTGAACTCTGTGCTTTTGTACCAAGTTTGTCACGTTTCAAGTCTATACCCTGGACGTAGCCAACACTCGACAACCATCATTGATCCACAAACTAACCTTTGACCTAACTGACTGCTTAGCGTAAGAATTACTCAAGCAAATAAGGAACTTTAATGCATAATTAAACTAAATCGTCTCAAGATCTCAAAACAGAAAGAAACATAATGAGAGACTCATCAATTCTAAGTTTCTATGAAGCCTCTAATACCAGGATAGATATCGGGACAATACCCATAATAACTCACAATAACAGGAAAATAAATGTAAAATCCTCTGGAAAGTAATGAGGCTCAACAAAGCCAATTAGGGTGCAAGTGATCTCAACGGAACTCATGTTGATTACCTTGAACACTTGTATTTGTATTATAATAAGATGTAGGTCGAATGACATCAACACATTAAATGATGTGCATGTAAAAAAATGAATGCATAGATATTTGAACTAATAAGATTAAAAGAATACTCACCTCAACTCAACTCAACTCAACACAAAACAATAATAAGAGATGAAATGTTAAAAGATTCATAAATAAAAGATACTTACTCAACGATCTATATAAAAGTACAATAAATTATTCTTCGCTCTTATTTGAGAGATTCTCTAACTGACAATCATCAGTATGATTCATGTGATGATACAATGTCCCATCCGCACATGTCAGAATTGTCCTATAATTTGTCGAGGTATAGAACACCTCAACTAAGTGGATCCACTAAAGTTATGCTCGAAAGCAATTAGAAATCGTCTAAAAAGTATGATCATATACCCATTTTGGCTACATGGTTTATGAGGAATGTGAGTTGTCTGAACTCATCCCCATATTAATGCTCAATACTACTCTAAAGAAATATATATATACTCATGCTCAAGTAGAAATATTATTTCTTTGTTTTGAGTTGATTGATCAAATTAACCTCTTAAAAGAGCTAACTGCTCTGAACTATCCTGAACTCATAAACTCTTCTTAGAAATCAAAGTTTCTCTTTTCTCAAGATAAAAATGTTATATTTGAAAAAATACTTATTATATTCTTCCTCAATCATGTATGAAACTCTTCTCAAAACTTACCCTTGCTTTTTCGGAAATTAGTTTAAGATCATTGTTGGCTAAAAAGGATTCTCAATAATAACTCCATAAAACTCTTGAACTTCCTCTTAAACTCAATTTAGTTTTGAATTTGCATTCTCAAAACTTACCCTTGCTTTTTCAGAAAATTAGTTTAAGATCATTGTTGGCTGAAAAGGATTCTCAATAATAACTCCATAAAAACTCTTGAACTTTCCTCTTAAACTCAATTTAGTTTTAAATGTTTATTAATTCATATGACTAGGATGTACAGTAATGGTCAAAGGTAAATAGAGATTATAGGAGCTAATACATAGAAGAAAACATGACCACAATTTAAAGGAACACGCAGTGAATGAAACAAAAAAAATCAGCTTTAACAATCCTTGGTGTAGTGCTGGCACAGGGCGCCAGGCCCTTAACTTCAAAAGTCAGACATGGCACATTACTAGCGCCGCGCAAGGCCCTCCCCAGCATCCCTGATGAACTTTAAAGTTAACTTAGGACCCCAAATTAGTTTAGAATTGGGAAATTGTTCCTAAATTCTTTTTGTTTCTCGAACCAAAAATCAGTACATGAGAACTTTCATATAATTCCTTTTGAAAACATATCTTTACTGAATCAGTAAGGTTCATGTCATGTGATAGCATGAACAACACTATAAGAAGTAGCGTACGCAAATTTTTTTATAAGAGGTGTCACCATTTAAAATGGAAAATAATAAATAAAATAATGTGATATCATAATTTGTTTTGAAAAAAAAGAGAGAACAAAATAAGAATAAAATACAATTCGTGCTTGCTATTGTACCTTTTCTAAAAAGAAATATCTTGAAAATTATTTTTTTTAAAAATTCATGAGTTTTTATTTTTGAAATGTATTCAAAATAATTTTAAAATTAATAATATTAAATTTTTAATAAATTGTTCTTAATTAGTTTCATTGGTCAGAAAGAAGGTGAAAGAAAGGAAAACATAAAAAATAAGTAGAATGTGTAAAAACAAGACAAGCTCTAGACTCAAACACACAACCTTCCCCTTTGAGTTAAGGTACTCGACCAGCTAAGTTGAGCGTACATTTATGTTAAGAAGTATTACTATATATAATATATTCAATATTTCTTTTTTTCCCTTTAATTATATATGTATATATAATTAAAAAAATCGACGAAGCAGTGTCATGTGACATCCATTGGATCTATGTAGATCCGCTCCTGACTATAAGATTCACAAAACATAAGAATCAAAACCTCAACTATTAAAAAACTGAATTCAATATTAAGAACTATGAATGGATCCTTTAGATATGATGATTTCTGACTGAATTAGATGTTCATGACGAACTAATTCAACAATTTGATAGTCTTACATACCTGGAAAAAAAACAAAGGTTCTAGGTGAAAATTGATAGAAATTTGAAGAACATTTGAACCCTAGAGTTTTCTGCTATCGGAACCTTGCTGTAGTTCTTCTAAATCTTATAGAATATGAAAAAATGTTTTAACACTAATTATACCCTAAATTAGATGTAGAAATAATTTGGCTTAGGCTTAGAAGGAGTGCAAAAAGACCTAACTACCCCTCTTAAAAACTGTTGAGGTGCCTTGAAAGGAGGATTCACTAAAATGGGCATATCTTTTTACTCTAGACTCGAAATGAAGAAATCTTGATGGCGTTGGAAAGAAAATTCAAAGAACCTTTAATTTGATTGGTCATGGCCACCTTATCTTTATGTGCTGAGAATATAGATGTTTGAAGTTGACCCATAATTTAAAACTGATGAGCGACTTGTACAAACCGCTCTTTACCCCTTTTTGAAGTCCGAAGTATTACAATATACATAGAAAAGTTCCGTAAATGTAATTTACACATCATTTTCTATAAACTAACACCTCTTGAATACATGAAGCTTTGTTATTACTTGATCAAGCATATATTAATATTGTAATAACTAGCTAAACCCATATGGTTAAATACGTATTTGATAACAAACGCTTTTCAAAATAAGCAAGATTGTTGAAGTTTGACCACACAGTTTATTAGAAATTATGAGGAAAGATTAATTTTATATAGAATGAGAAAAGAGTTTTTATACATTTAGTTGAATGCTTACAAATATTTGTTATGCCACGAACGAATATGTTTGTGTCTGTTTATTTAACTTTATACAAATTTTAAGTGTGTATTCATAGTTGAAGAATGTATATGTTAGTTGAATTCAAGTTTAAGGATACGTTTATGTATTACGTCTTTTATTTCACATAAAACAATATTAAAGATTATTAGAAGGAAAAAAAATAACTATTGTTTTATAATTGAAATATTTTAGAACTTTAAATTAAATAACTCAAATTTTCATATTGACAAATATAGTTTTTACAGTAACATCCAAAATAATATATTGCAAACAAATGACTACACCTTGTTATCTAAAATTAATACTTATATTTATAAATAATAATAACAATTTCTATGTAAAGCTAAACATTTAGGTCTTTTAAGAATACTATGTAAAAAACAAAACTCTAAATTAATATTATTCGTGTGTGTATGTGCATATATAAGAGGTTTTTTTTTGGTAATTTGGATATGACCATTCATTTAATTGAAATACTCTTTTATCACACTAAATTATTCTTTTTATCACTATGAATGATATCTTGATCGTAAATTTGATTGAGCACCAAAAGTGCATTCTTTGTATGCTTTTGGACTTCAAATTTCCATATCCAATTTATAGAATAATTATTTTAAAGACAGTTTAGTAGGCTTCCACCACTGTCATATTAGAACACCAACTAATAAATGATTGATTGATATTCTTCTATATTACTAATTTCAAAATAATAAAGATATAAGATTTGATGGCAATGAGAGATGGAAGAGAAAAATTATTTTGATCAGAAATTTCAGGTCGATCTTAACGCTAAAAAATTAAAATCATAAACTCCTTTACAACGTTCTCTTTAACTACAAAAACACCTCCGTCTCTCCCGTCATTACAATAATAAAGATTATTTGAAATAAAAAGAATAAACAAAATGTACAATCTAATTTATATATACACAAAAACTAAGTAATATGGTTTTGTTGTTTTTGTTCTCAAGACAATCTAGGATTTAAAAAAGGAGAACTTTTCAACTTTAATCTTTAATTAAGTATGATTATGTTCATAATATTTTCTCCATTTCTATTTACTTGTAAATATTTTTAAAAAAAATTGATTTCCATTTTTAATTGTCATACTTTACAAATTAAGGAAGGGCAAATTCTTTTCTTCCTTTTAAGTCAATATCTTTGAGAAAAAATTCAATGGGAAAGAAACTAAAAGTTTCTACTTTTTCAAAAAAGCAGAAGTGGAAAAAAAAATTATTTTTCTCAAGACTAAAATATATCTTTCATATATATACATATTTATCAATATATCTCTTATTAATTAATTAATATATCACATAAGTTTGGTTAAATTTCATTTTTTTATTTTATATAATAAAATTTTATATTTTTTTATATTTATATATTATTATTTTATATTTACATATTTTTTTACGTATTTTTACAGAATTAGAAAAAAGAAGATAATAACAATATTTTTGTAAGGTTTATGAAAAGAGAAAAAATAACAATTAAAGATTTCAATCCTCTTAAAAAAAGGTAAATATTGATTGAAAATTTAAATATGTACATACATTTTAATTTAATAAAAATAAAAGTTTACTTAATTTTTGTAATAGATATATAAAATAATTTTCTCTACAAATTAATCTAAATATTAAAAGTAAATTAATAGTGGTAATTTTTCATATTTTGACTCTCAAAAGCACTTTTTAAAAGATATCAATCAAACATAATTTGCTTATGAAAAACACTTTTTAAATGTATTAGTCAAACACAAATTGTTTTTTCAAAAGCACTTTTCTGAAAAGTCATTTTTTAAAAAGTATTTCAAAAAATTAAGTCACTTTTAGCAGTAATGTCAAACAAGCTCTAAGACTCTATCAATTAAAATGAATAAAAGTGAATTCACTGTACCAATATTATTTTTTAGTAGATATGTCGAGTCAAAATTTAACAAGTAAAAGATATTTCTATTTTTATTTTATTTGTAATTAATTAGGGCCGCACGAGTCATTTTAATTTCATCAAATAAATCCATCCAAAAAAGACATAAAAAGTAAAGTACACTTAGAGTTTGTGTCCGCATCGTCGTTAAAAGGTTAAAAATACTTATTTTGAGTAAAAATATTTATTTGGAAAAATAAGGTGTTTGACTAGTTAGTAGAATTGCTTTTAAATAGAAGTAAAAATATTTTTCTGTTTTCGGGAGAAGTTAAAAATTACTACTTCATAAAAATAAAAACACAAAATTATATACTACAAGACAAATATCCCCTTCATATATATATATATATATATATATATATATATCTTATATTTTTTTTGTGATGAGTTTTTCGTGTGTAATGATTTAATATGTGAAATGGTTTTAAAATTTATTTTTCTTGATATTATTAATTATATTCAAGTCAATATGTTAATATTATGTCTGTTTTTATTTATCTATGTACAACAGTGTTTGAATTTTGAATATGCACATTTTAATTTAATAAAAATAAAGATGTATTCAAAAATTTATTACAGATATTTAATATAATCTTAATACGGGAAAAGGGCCTAAAATATCCTCGAAATATTGAAAATGGTACATAATTACCCGTCATCCACCTATTGGCCCTCAAATACCCTTCCCATCCACCTTTGGTTCCAAATTTATCCCCCTTATTAACATAGTACAATTTAAAATAATTAAATAATACTTTTACTTACTTGGCACCCAACCATTGGTTGTATTTTAATTATTTAATATAATTTTAAATCAATTCATTACCCACCCATTTTTAACTAAATCTGTCCCAAATGTTATTAAACCCGTCTGACCCACCCAACGCAAAAACCCATCTAATTAAAGAACCCTAAAACCCAAATAAAACATTTCAGTTCTTTTAAAAAAATTCAAGGAACCATTGTTTTGGGTTCCTTGAGAGGACCAACTACTTGTGATAATTATATTTATTGTTTATGAACTATGACTTATGACTTTTCAAAGAGTTCTACTTAGTGTGAGTGGGGGAGTGCGACTCCATTCATACGTTGCACAAGTGGACTTTAAGAGTGGGGTTCTCTTATACTATGAAGATGATGTTAATCAATGTTGTTGATATTCGGTATATTACATGGTCATATTTGTTGTTTTGACTTGTATATGTTTCACTTAGTGGGATAGCCACGTGAACCTACCAGTACACTGTGGTTGTGTACTGATACTGCACTTGCACTTATTTTTGTTGAGTACAGGGCATTCTTCGGCAACTATTGACAGACCTCATTTAGATGATCACGAATTCAAGGGTGAGTCAGTTCTTTTGGACATCCGTGACTTCTCTTTGTTTAAGTCCACTCTTTTCGGACTCAAACTATTAGTTAAGTTGTACTTAGTTTCGGGGTTGTACCCCTTGTACATAAATTTGTCTTTAGTAGAGTTTTGGTACATTGACTTTCAGATTCTAGGTATTGAATTCCGCATTTGTTAGTTAATTAAATTTGTTTCTGTAACTTTATTGTCTTAATTTTGGTTTAGTTGCTTAGTTTGAGTTGTAATAGTGGTTCTCCTATCGGATGGTTAGTGTGGGTGCCAATCACGACAGTTTGGGTCGTGACAATATTTCTCAACTTCCTGGGCTTGAATTGGTCGACAACAGATTTACCTAACTCTCTGCTGAAGTAGATATCAACTCCCTAAACACTTAAAAAGAAAAAGGTATGGAACACAATACCTGCTAGTATATGGTGGAGTATCAAGAAGGATAGGAATAGAAGATATTTTGATGGACGAAAGAGCTCGATATGGAAACTCAAATCCAATTTCTACATTAAGTTGATAAACTATTGATCAAAGAGTAGGTAAAATAACATATGTGCTACTGGCGAAATAACTGCTCAAGATTTCTCTGAAAACCACCTACTACAAAATCTAAAAATGCAACATGGGATGCCAAGCCCCTAAGTGACCACCAAAACACAACATAATAAGACAAACTTATAATTCAGTAACAACAAACAACAGGGTGGAAGAAAAAGTTGAGTTTAGAAGGCAAGTCTTTATATTTTGAGAAAGGTAACCATGAGTTCAAAAGGCAAGACTTTATCCAAATTCACCAAAACTTGACGAAAGTTATGGTAATCCAATTTGCTTTATTTATAAATGTGCAAATTGATGTTGCAGCACATATATCCATTCAGGTACTACATATCATAAAACAAAGAGAAAGACAGGGAAGAAATAAACAGATTTTGAGGAACATGAATACTAGAGATTGAGGACAAGAAAAATTTAGAGACTTCTATCTCACCTGAGAAGCAAAGGAAGATGTGAAAACGATCGAAATACCCATATAAATAAAGCTAT